TTGTCTGAGGGCTGCACCTCTGCCTCAGGCACAGCAGAATCATCTGAGCCAGTTTTGGCACATGGGCTTTACTTTGGGCACTTTGGGACTCGTGGGTCTCAATGTAAATCCTGTTCCTCTCCTGTCATGGTGGTGGCCTGCTTGGACCAGTTCAGTTTGAACTCCAGTTTACCTTGTTATCATGTGTGCTTTGGAAGTTTATCCTAGGATTGCTTCACATGATCTGCTGTTGCACTCATGTGCCAAGCAGCTGGCACTTAAACTGGATTCTTCATCTGAAAGCAACTGTTATATCTTTCTTCTCCTTGTGGCTGCAGATATGTTGTGTTTTGGTAACTTGTTCGCCATTCTAGTCTGAAGCTGTGCTAGACTGCTCTGTGCTTACTGAGCATTTGTTAATGCTCTCCCGACTTCCATCCTAAGCCTTAAGAATTTGGCTGCTTTCATGCTTCTCAATGTAGATGAAAACTTCTTTAAGTGTAAAATTCTTCCTGCTGTTACTGAACAGCAGGCTAAGACCTTCCCACAATCCATGGAAATGCTGTTTCTCGCTTGTTATGTGGACTCTTCTCCCCCATTTTCTATTGGTCTTAGACATCCTCCCAGGTTGTATCCTTTAATCTGACCCTCCAGTATATTTTGAATCAGTTAAAGCTATATTTGCGTGGTAAGGCTTTCTGAATCTGACAGTATTTGGATCTTGGGAATATCTAGGTGGAAGATGTCATGTATTAAAATACTTCTACTTTGAGATCCTTATCTTCTTTTCCTGCAGGGCTAAATCCACTATGGAATTCAATAGGCAACTAAAGTCTACTATACTAAAACGATTCCCAGCTGCACCATAAGCTTGGCACAGCTTGAAATTAATTAGATAAGCTTTTTGCTGACAGTGACTCTGATAAACATCCTAAGCTTTGTGAAGCTTGTGCACTGATGTTTCGCTGTTCTGTAATGGTGCCCTCTCCTTGACTCTGAACTTTGTTAACTTTGCCGTTTTACCAATAACACCTACTTTTGGTGGCAAGTTTTATCCATTTGCATTCTCTCAGTATCAAAGTACCAGGATATTCCCATTTGAATCTTTCATTGAGATGGGCACCCAGCCGAGGGTACCTGATGAAGGTTAGAAGGAGCAGAGTCTCTGGGCTGCAGTTAGGCTGCATCCAATCATGGCATAAAGGCTAGTGGCTATATTTCAGTTTATATAACAGATATATTTCCATTTACCTAGAAATACATAGCAGGATTTGCAAGCTAAGCATATATTTTCCATGTTGGCTGTAAAGATTTCATTTAATAGAGTCTTGTCTTGGGACAGTACTCCTATCTTGATTTGAATTTCTGCTGTGATAAGTTTGTATTCCTGCAGCTTTCATTCTGAAACATTAGCCTCAATATACAGTCTTCGGCCTTTTTAGAAGTTTGGCCCTGCACTGATGGCTTGGAAACACAGCAGTGAATTTCCTTGGCCCTTGTCTCAGAAGTGCCCTAAAAATGCCACTTTTCAGGCGAGAGGAAAAACTGAGTTTGGCCCTTAAAAGTGTCATAACAGTGTTCAGGAGAATTAGCATGTCCATCAGTGCTACAAGTTGATTTCACTTTAGATGATCTGCTGTTTTGACTGAAGAGGCTTTGCATATTGGCTGCTGTCTTGCTCTGAGGTAGTTTAATTCCACTGCAGACTGAAGATATTTTCTGTGTATGAACTCAGTTGCAAAGTTGGGGCCCTCTGTGAGTACTGATGGTATATTACTGCTTCTTTGTTGACTTGTTAACTATGGAGCATTCCTCATCTGGGAGAGGTGGGAGACAGCCCGAGTAGCTGAGTGATTACTTCATGGTCTGTAGTTGTGTTCAGTGGAAACTTCAGCTATTTGCAATTGCAAACAAGGGGTGAAAACCTAGATACATGAGATTAATATTGCAAACAGGAAAGCAAATAGTACAAGGGATGGAGCATCTGGGAAAGATCAAACCCGATAAGAATCTGTTCTCTAGGAGGCAGAGAGGCCACCTGCAGGCGGTTTCCTCTGACAGCCAAGAGTGCATGCAATGGGCTTTAGGTTCTTGTTTATAAATTGGAATGACTGATTGTTCAGCTTTGATGCTGAATTTTGAATTTTTTCATGTCTAGAGGAACCAGCCTGATCAGATATGTCAGGTGGAAACAGGATTGGTGGTCAGTTGTTTTGAAAGTTTCTGTGTTGACAGCCTGAGCTAAGTGTGATGAAACTGGAGCAAAACCCAGAACTCAGTAATGCGCATGCTGCTTCCTTTGTAGGTCTCATGCATAAATTCATTCTGATTTGGAAGGCAAAACAAACCACTCCATTTTCAGTCATCCAGGGGACTATAGATTATCTTTTGATGTACTTGGTCTTGGAAATTGTCCAGTGGAAACATGCAGTCTCCCCAGTCATGGATTGTCTGTTTATTTGTTATCAGTGCTCACAGACCTTTTCACCAAGGCTATATAAGGAACAAGATTCTAGACTTTGAATAGGCCCTGCCTATTGAATAGGCTTCTATGTCATTCCTAAGAAAGCTGTTTAAGCTATTTGGTTCCTGACTTGTGACTTGTCAGGTCTGGAAATCAGTGCTCGGGAGCTTGAGCTGAGTGTGTGGCCACCCACAATGAGGCAGGAACATGGTGCTGTACTGCACACCACAACGGCCTGCCTTGGTTAAGCTTGCAGTCTGCTTCTGGCCCTCAGACCATCCACTCTGGTGTGAAATGCAGCCTCTTAGTTAACTGAAGATAGCACCTATTCTGAATTTAGCATAGTTATCTGTAAAGATCTGTAGCTTTTCTGGCCATTCTCTTTCATCCCTTTAAAACTCAACAGATTCTCAAATGCTACCATCTTCTTGGTGCTCTGCCCTTTGTTCTCCAGACAGAGATATAAGAGTTGCTCAAGACCAATAGGAAGAGTCATAACATGCTATATTTCTTGCCTGGGACTTTGTAGCCTGTGCTTAGTTTTACAGACAACTTATGTACATTAGATCAGACCCTAAAGCTCATAGCAAGCTACCAAGAAACTCTGGGCTAGGCAGAGAGTGGGCTACCATGGGATATGCAATGTGATGTTGGTCTTGTGGCCTGGCTGTGACTGTATCTGGTTGTTCCAGATGAGCCTTGCATCACTCTCTCCTAGTCCTGCATTCTGGGTCATGCATCCTCCCTAATTGCCTCTTATCTCTGCATGTGTATGTCAATGTGATGGCCTGTGCCACCCCTTTCCTGGTCTGTACCTAGTGCTGCCTCAGTGTCCCTAGCTTTTGTAGAGTTTCTGGCTTATGTGCATCGATAAATTCTGTCTCTTGTGTTGTATGGTGACATTCTCAAAAATGGGACTTGTGAGGAAAAAATAAAAAGTAGCAAGAGAATCTGTTCTTCTGGCCAAGATGAGGGTAAAAGAGGGTTAGCAGCATCTGAACGTCATGGCTGGTGTATATGAGTTCTCTGGCTGCTGTTTGCAGCACCAAGTGGTCATCTGTTGCTAACAGGCAGTACTCCCAGACGCCTCAGGTTTCCTGTTCCAGGGTTCAGTTTGAGATTTCAGTTGCTGCATGGCAAGTATAACAAAGCAGTAGTTGAGGGCCAGAGCCCATGCAAAGGTGGGAAAATGACTGCATGCTTTGAATATTGTAAATTCATGTGGGAAGAAGGATTTATTTCAAGAGGAATGATGTATTGTAGGACTGTCCTGCACAAGTAGTGCGCCTTGCTGCTTTTCTCTGCTGTGGTCTGTATGAGATGGTTGTCACTGGGGAGGAAGGACAGGATTGTCGACTGTAACCTCAATAGGCCCTTCCACTGTCTGCCTTTTTCTGCTTGACAAGAAAACACAGCTTTCAGAGCAGGGTGAGAGGCAAAAAGGTTGTGAAGATTTCGAAGGAATAAATGGATTGGGTGCTGTGTTTGAGAGAGAATCCAACTTTCATTCAGACTGTATGTCCAAAAGATTTGTGACCTGGTTCTTACTTACCTAATCTCTGAATTTCCCTAGCATGTCTGCTAAGCCTGGCCATGTTCATCTGCTTGAGTTTTGTTCATGGGGCCAAGATCTCTGCTGTCAGAAATGCACCAGTGTTCAAAGACTTGCTTTGGAGAAAACAACTTGTTGTCTCTGAAGTCTCAAGTGGTCGCTGGGAGTGTTCTCCCTGAGATGAGGGTGCCTTATGGGTTATTTGGCTCCAGTATGATGGGAACTGCTTTCTGCTTGGTATTTACAAAGAATGCTTTGTTGTGCCGCACTTTGCAGCTCCTTCCAGCTCAGGCTGGAAAAATATCTCTGTGGATGGAAAATCTAGGAAGCAGTGAACAGCTTATTCTACAATCCCCCTGAAGAATCCAGCAGCCCTACTTGGTCCATCTGTAGAAGAGGTTTATGATGATGCTTGTTTCTCATCTCTGGGATGTGACTGGGACTGCTTCTTTTCTATGAATTTCTTGGTTTCCAGGGTATGAAATGGCTTTGTTGTGTGTGCAGGACTGAGCTTCAGGTGAAGTAAGAAACAGATGCAACGTACCATAAGCAGTTAGTCTGGGACTGTGTGCAGGATGGAAGGAGTGGTTACCATGCCCGTGAGGGGCAGTTTTCCCTGTGCCTCCCTGGACACGTGTGCATCAGGAGCAGTGCCCAGGGACAGCTTAACAGGATTAATGCTCTGAACACTCTGCTCTGTACTTGCCTTCATCCCTACATGCCCTGAGGCATCCTGGCTTCCAGTCCTTCCTCTCCTTTCACTGCTGAAGCAGAGATTCTGTTCTCCATTCTTATTGTTGACTTGCCAGGCCCTTGGTGTTCAGGTTTCTGCTTCTATACTAGGTCTGTGGTAACGTTTGAAAATCAAGTTTAGCTTTGCTGGTAGCTGTGGCAAACCAGACTTCTGCCTTGTTATGGTGGTTTTCCATTCTTTCCTTACCCCTTGCTGCCAAGGCCACAATGTAGTCCTTAAACTCTGTCTAATCTCTGGCATTTCATCTGTAGGTGATGACAAATACGGAAGAAAAGTCATTTTGTTCAGTGCCTGCCGGATGCCCCCAAGTCATCAGCTAGATCATGTGAAACTGCTGGGGTGAGTAGAGTCAGAAGGCTGCTGTTAACTTCTTAAGCCTGACCTAATTCTCAGGGGCTGGATTCCTGGAGCCAGATCTATCTGCAGTAGCTTCTTTAGCTGGACATGTCCTCCCAGGTACTTACCTCCATTGCTGGGGATGCAAATCCTCCGTTATAGCACACAAAAATGAGTCCCTAAGGGAGGAAGTGCCCCTCTGTAGCAGAGCACAAAGTTTGCTTAGAAGTTGTCTCTTCTCAGGTACCTGAAATTCACACTGGACCAATATGTGGAGAGTGATTACACACTGGTGTACCTGCACCATGGCCTGACCAGTGAGAACAAGCCATCCCTGAGCTGGCTGCGGGATGCCTACAGGGAATTTGATCGCAAGTGAGTAAGGCTGCAGCAAGCAAGACTATAATGTGCTGTTCTGTAGCATAACATAGATGATCTTCCTCAGGCCCCCTGTGTAGCTTGGTGATCATAATTTACTGTCACTTATTTCTCCAGCTTATGGAATTGGATTGTTGTTTACTGCAGGCTGAATCATGGGATAAACACCTCCTTCTGTAGTTACATCCTTTAGGCCAGCAGCAAGCAGCAAAACCAGGACCCAGCGCAAGTGTGTCACTTCCATGGTATAATTGTTGCTTCTTGGTGAGGCTGCTTGCTGCTTTTTGGTGAATGTTGGAATACAGTAGAGCATGCCCTTAGGCTGCTGAGTGGCCTGACACAGCTACAAAGCATGGGAGAGCAGAGGCCATGGGTGCTGGGGAGTGGTGAGGCTCAGTGCAAAAGGAATGGAGTAGCCAGGGTACCTTAACCTTTTGGCACAGTTGGTTCCTCTGCTTGAAGTACAGTTCATCATTAGTGGGCTTTTCTTGGCAGGTACAAGAAGAACATCAAAGCCTTGTATATTGTACACCCAACAATGTTCATCAAGACCCTGCTGATTCTCTTTAAGCCTCTGATCAGGTAGGAAACACTATAGGAGTCTCAGCCACATCCTCACACTGCATGGAAACAATGAGGCTTTTTCAGTGGGGCACAAGATGAGCCCAGGCTGCCAGGCCTACCCTGGAGTCTCTCACCTTATGCTGTCTGCTCCTATTTCTGTGCTCAGAAACATTCGGACACCGGAAGTACCATTTTGGGGACCTGCAGGGTTTGCAGCTCTGTGCTTCTCCTTTTATATCTAGCCAAATAGAAATGAGAAGTTTCAAGCTCTGCTAATAATGAAAGTCCAAATTATATTTAATTCATTGTGTTGCTGAAATCCTAACTCTGTAAAATAATTAACAGCAAAACTTTCTCAAGCCTAATGCTGAACATAGGAAGGAGAAATCCAGCATTTTAGGGAGCCTGCTGCTGCTAGGGCTTCTCATGTAACTTGGAAAGTCTTGGCATCTCCTGGTAGAATAGATGAAGTTGGAGAGCTGCGTGGGTGACATCTTTGCTGCTCAGCCATACCTACCCCTTTGCCTCATTGCAGACTCCTGCTCTCCTTTCCTGTAAGAAGGCAGGTCTGTTACTGGGTTTCCTGATTCACTTAATTTTCTTTTGTTTTTCAGCTTTAAATTTGGACGAAAGATTTTTTATGTGAATTACCTTAGTGAGCTGGAGGAGTATGTGAAGCTGGAACAGTTGGGGATCCCAAGCCAAGTGCTGAAGTGAGAATACTGCCTGTCTACCACTTGTTTAGGGCTCTGTGAGAGGGGACTTTTTTGAAGGAATGGCAAGAGGATGAAGAGGTTGTTCCACTCAGGCAGTGGTTTTGGAAGGAGTAGTGACAAATTGCCTTAAAGACTATTGTTTATCTCCGTACTCATTCCTGGGTGTCCTTGGCCCCAGTGCCCCTTTCTGTCTTGGAGTGAAAAACAATGGAGCACAAATCCTGCCTCTCCCACTCACCCCTCAGGGACTTTCTGCAAGATGTGGACTTTTATGCTGACCTGGAGCTCATGGTGTGCATCTGCTGTGTCTGGGCACCTGCTTAGCTCATTCTGCACAGTTCAGCTTGTCTTTGGGGCTTCCCAAGTTTGCCACAATCTCAGTCCTACCAGATTGATTCCCTGTTCCTCACACACGCATGCATCTGTCTCATCAAAGCAGTGTTGTCCTGATCTCCTGCCCACGTTGTCATCCTCAGCTACTCCAACTCTTCATTCTGGATAGACATTCCTTTCTCCTTACTTTTTTTCCTGGCAACCAGATGTTTGTTCTTGTGCTCCAGAGCTGCCTGTCCTGTTTTTGCATAGGTGGACCCATCCATATTAGGCTGGAGCTGTTACCAGTGGGTGTGCAGTGATGGGTTCATGTACTTTCTGGGAGGTGGAGTGGCTTTTTACTAGTCTGTTTTGCCACAGATATGATGAATACCTGAGATCTCTGCAGAAACCTTTACAAGTGCCCCAGAAGCCAACACCCCCACGCCCACCGCTGCCAAACCAGCAGTTTGGAGTCTCACTACAGCAGTGAGTATCTCTGCACTGTGTTGCTTTTGCCCTGACTTGTTTAATATGATGTCACTGTATTTATAACTGAACAGCAGCAAAAATGGCTGTGAAATTTCTCGTATTTCAGACTTCCCACAAAACAAATCATTTTCCTGAGGAACTCTGCTCTGGTACAGATCCTGACTAACTCAGTTCAGTTCCACCCTATTCAGCCTGGGTTAGGTTGTTTCTGCAGCTAAGGGTCACTAAGGGAGGAACAAAATAAGGGCCATGGGGACAGCTTTATGCCACTAGAAATGTCCTTTAAGCAAAGGAAGTCTGTAGGAGGCTGATGGAGGTGTCTTTAGGACTGCTGTCTTGTTTGAGCAGTGCTGCAGATCTGTTTCTTAGGGTTTTTTCCATATCATAAATTGCATATTAAAAGCACTTCTATTTACCTGTGTACTGATTCCCACTCCCCATTCCTGCACAGTGATACAGACATACAGACACTGGCAAGGACTAGTGACACTGAGAAAGTGTTGAAGGTATTTTTGGGTGTGATTTTGTCTCCCTGGGAAATGAGGAGGAGCCAGTACTGTGTAACCAGACAGATCTGAGGCAGTCTGGGAACACAGAATCACCAGCTTCAATACAATGTTCCCAAGTGGTGTTTCCCAATGGTGCTGTGTGCCTGAGCTTGTTAGTAGCCTGAGAGGGGTGAACAGCTCCATGCTATGAAGTAGTCTGGACAATCGAATGTCAGGGTGGCAGTGAACACCTTGGCATTACTAGGTTTTCTCTGACAGCCATTGTGTTGATAAATCTTCTGTCCCAGGAGCATGGTGGCAAAAATGATTCCATATATATTTCTCTCATGTTTCAACTTCTCTCTGCCCTTGCTCTTATGGGAAAGGAGATAGGAAGCTTTGCCCTTTTCAGCTGATTCATAACTACCAGCCTTGCTAGGGGAAGAGGGGTGAAGGGGATATAAGGCTGGAATAATGGCTGAAGCAGGGACTGGAATAGCAAGATCCTATGTGATACAGCTTGTGTGGGCAACTGTAAGACTCAGGGGCTGCTTGCAGGGCAGGAAGGACCAGTCATTTGTAACCTTTTGTCTCTTGCCTCAGTCTTAGGGAGAGGAGCCCTGATCAGTCTCCTGTTCCTCTGGTGGTCAGAGACACCATTGCTCATTTGCAGGAGCATGGTAAGTGTTTGGGGGAAGCTGCAGCCCCTCTCAATTCCATGTCAGTGGCCTCTCTTCCACCATTCTCTCCCATTGAGAATGTGGTAAGATAAAGAACAGCAGTATAGAATAAGGTGTAAAGCCTGTACTAGATGAGTTAACCTTTCAAGAGAGATCGTGCAGGGCTTAGGAGAACTTTTTTCTTCCAGTTGACCATACTCCCACTTGTATAAGAGTAGCAAAGTACTCTTTGTATCCTTTGTCTCGTAGTGGAAGCAGAAAGAATTGCTGTACTTTAAGAAAGGGACTTGTTGACCTTTGTGACTGAGCTCCCCACAGCACGGATTTATGATTGTTAAGGCCAGCATTTTTAGAGACTCTCACATGTCTGATATTTCTTCTCCATCTGCTCTTATTTCACAGCTCTTGCTACAGAGGGGATTTTCCGGAGATCAGCAAATACACAGGTTGTCAGAGAGGTCCAGCAAAAATACAACATGGGTAAGTGCCCAAATACATCAGAGCCCCTCTCATTGCCTAGCTGATACTGTCCAGCTGGAACTGTGTTGGAACTAGTCCATCACTGATCCGTTCCTTCTCTGATAGGTCTGTAGGTGAGGTCTCATCTCAGGGTATAACCTGAGTTGCAAGGGAGCAGCATCTGATACTCTAGCTGTGTGGAAAGCATATTCCTTCCCAGTCATGTTCCCCTTGCTGCCCTTTTCTTTTTATTATTTTTTTCTGAAAGTTTCCATGTTTATTGGGGTGGGGTGTACCATCTTAGTCTGGTTATACTGGAGGGACTCAAGATGACCAGGAAGAAACTTAGTCATATTTCATTTGATTACTTCTGAAGATGTAGTGCTGGATTCAGAAGTGTTTTGCATATGACTTTGGGACACATTTTTCACTCTGCTAGAAGATGTGATGCTTCAGTACCCTCTCTATTCTTTAAGAAACTCCTTAATTCTGGGCTCTGACCACCATGTCTCATCCTTGTCTGCAGGAGGTCCTGCTTTGCCCAGCAAGCACTGAGTCTCTGCTCTGTCTTCTCAGGTGTGCCTGTAGATTTCCAGCAGTATGAAGATGTCCACCTCCCTGCCGTGATTCTCAAGACATTTTTGAGGGAGCTACCTGAGCCCCTTCTCACTTTTGGTCTCTATAGCCATGTTGTCAGCTTCCAGAGTGAGTTGTTACAAGTGTGCTATTCCCTGAATGTTGCACTGGCTAAGGGCAAAGATACCTTCGGGGGTCATGCATGGGATATGCTGTGACTACAAACAGGACTTTCATCAGGATAGGTGCTGAGGATTCCTCATGGACCTGCTCGTCCTGTCTCTCTTGATTTTTAGGTGTGGACGAAGAGAATCGTGTGGATGTTGTTCGCAAAACACTCCAGACTTTGCCAGAAGAAAACTACCAAGTGCTCCATATATTGACAGCCTTTCTGGTGCAGGTGAGCTGTTCCAAGAATGCTCCAACTTTTTGACTGCCTGCTCCCTCTTTTCCTCTGAGAGGAAATAGGTCTCAAGCTAGGGAATTACTTTTATTTACCTTATGTTCTTCCCATACAAAGATCAAGAATGATTATGATGAACTAGCCTGAGCAGTTGCTTGTCATAATGCTGAGAGGTACAGACGGGCATTGAACCCAAGAGGTGCAGGTATACAGCCTGTATGGTCTGTACCAGGGAAGCTGAAAGCTCCCCAGGGTGGAGGTACAATTGTGAAATACCTGAGTAGAAGAGGGGTGTCAGATCTGCCCTACAGAACTTTCTGCTGCCAAGAAAGACACTGCATGGCTATTCTAGCAAGTGGGAAGGTAACGAGTGGTGATCTGGACTTTGACTGACAGTGCTCTTGGTCCTGTTCTTATGTTATGGCCTGGTCAGCTTTTCTCCTCTCATTTGCCATGTCAGTTCTGGCTTTGGGGTTGGTAGAGGGCAGCTGCTCTGCTGTTCTGTAGGATTCACAATGGTCTCTTTCCTTCCTGTATAGGTCTCTGCTCACAGTGAGAGAAACAAGATGACAAATGCCAACCTGGCAGTCGTGTTTGGCCCAAATCTGCTGTGGGCCAAAGATGTAGCCATCACCCTAAAAGCCATCAACCCCATTAATACCTTTACCAAATTCAAAACCAGAAGGAGTGAGGATGCGGAGGCCTGAATCCAGGCCAGCCCACACCAGCACACTGTGCCCACCTTCCCCCTTCTTTGTCTTGGAGTTATGACCAAGCTGCCTCCAGTACAAAAGGACCATTGATCCTCTGGGTGATGAGCAGAGTGAGGGCTGTGGAGATGGTAGTGAAAGTGTGCAAGTGAGCAGGAGACCTGCAGCTCTGGCTGGGTGAGGATGCGGAGGCCTGAATCCAGGCCAGCCCACACCAGCACACTGTGCCCACCTTCCCCCTTCTTTGTCTTGGAGTTATGACCAAGCTGCCTCCAGTACAAAAGGACCATTGATCCTCTGGGTGATGAGCAGAGTGAGGGCTGTGGAGATGGTAGTGAAAGTGTGCAAGTGAGCAGGAGACCTGCAGCTCTGGCTGGGTGGGGGAGCTGGTCTCCCAGCTGCAGAGTGGAGTTGTAACCCACCTGTGCAGCTCCTCCAGGGCTCATCACCAGTCTGCTGCCCTATCAGATGAACTGCCTTCCTTTTCTCCTTCCCTCACATGCAGTTTTTCTGCCCTCCTGGTCCCTTCCTCAGCAAAGATCTTTTTTGTTCAAGCTCCCAATAGCCCCAGCTCACCCCTCCTTGCCTCAACTGGGCTGTCTGGGCTAGGACAGGCTTGCTGGGTTCTGTGGCAGATATTCTTACTGCGAGTGCCATCTCTCAGCACCGAACATGCTTCCTGCCTTTCCCCAGAGGCACCTAGAGCAGGGAAGGGAGCCAGCAGCCCTTAATGCTTCAGGTGGCAGCATGTCCTGCACTTGCGAACAGCACTCTGGACTGTATGCTTTTGGCAGGCAAGTGAAGGACAGGCTCATGGCAATGGGCTGTATTACCTGTCAGACTCCAGAACAATGAAGGTGAATTTAGCCCAAAGCCCAACCTCTCTGGGGTCACTCACTCCAGATACTATTCAGTTTGCTGGAGTGTAGTGGGTGATGTGCCTCCCGTAGTTACCCAGGTCAGGCATGTCTGTCCCTCCAGCAGCACTTCCAGCCTGCCTGGGAAGGTTCATGCCAGGCTTGGCTGTGTGGGGAGGCCAGCTGGGGCCCTTTGGCAGCTGGTGAGTATGAATGGCAGGGAGCAAGTGCCCTGGTGGCACTGTATTGCTGAACACTGTAAAGATCACCACCTGTCCCTGTAGCAGCAGCACAAGGCCTCTTCTCTGTCTGGCTTGTGTATCTGTGCTGACTGGCACAGACTGCCTTGGCTAGCTGTCTTTTTGAGCAGCTTGCTCCAGCACAGTGTAACACAGTGTGGCCTTGAGGGAAGCTCTGGGGACTGGGGCTAACCCTCACCCTGGAGTGCACCAGTCCTGGATTACAAATTTCTGCCCAGGTGCTGAGCACTCATGTGCCAAAGCTGTGAGGGAACAGCTATTTCATGCCAAGGGCCTTTGCCCCGTCTCCTCCTTGGTTCATACTACCATGAAAGCCTGGTCAGATGCATCCTGTATGCCCTGGGCACAGCTGGAGGGATCAGGTAGTCTGCAGGAGAGGCTCAGGGTGAGATGGTGTTGGCATGTTCCCAGAGCAGCTGCAATTCTGTTAGGCATCGCTGTTGATTTGGGGTTGCAGCATTCCTGTTCCCTGAGCTAAAAGAGCCTCTCCTTAGCCAGGGCCTGTCAGGTTTTAGGAAGGAGCTTCTAGCCTTCCTTCACTGGTGTGTTGTATCTTTGTGTCTTGTGCCCTGCATGCCTGGGCCAGCCCTCCCTGCTGCATCTGGCCTCAGGGACAAATCTTTTGGACCAAGCAGAACTGACGTTTAAAAAGCTACTGGATGCTAACTAGAATTTGCTTATTCTTAATATTTTACCCTGCCTTTAAACACTGACGAAAGGTTGGTGCCCCTGTTGTCATAAAAATAAGTGACTTTGCTGCAGGAATTAAGGAGATTTTGCTCTTTTTGCTAAGCTCTGGAATGGGGATGGGTGCAAACCTAGGGAGCTCTGCAAGGCAGCACAGGTCCAGCCAGCTGGCTGGGAGGAGGCACACCAACATGTGAGTGGGAACAGTGAGCAAGAAACTGAGCATTACTAAGACTGGAGCAAGAGATGTTCTAGAATAGGGCTGGATCTGATCCCATTCTAGATACTGTTAGACTGCCCTATGGACACTACAAGGCTGATGACTTCAGATCTCCCTCTTCCAAGGGTAGCAGCCTTCCCTGTCTAGCCAGGACATGGGTTGTTTATTCTGAACAATTCATAACAGTAACTAAATAAATGTTTTGGATGTAGAGAAAATGAGCTCCTAATTCACCTGTGGTCTCCCCTAGAGTAAGTTAGCAGGGCTGATGTGCTGTGGAGGGGTAATCTCCTGGGGTGGACAGTGTGGGAGAGGTGTACTTGCTCCAGTGTTGAAGAGGTAAGGCTGTGGAGGTTCTAGTGCAGCATCTCTT